AGAACAGGAAAACCTAGATTGATTCTATCCTTAACCGTGGAAACATGACTTAGATACTCTGCCTACCACCCTGGGAAAAACTGGAGGAGGAAATACCACATTGATTTCTTGGGCAAAAGGTGTGATAAAAATCTAACAAAATAAATAAATGACAGTAGGCTTCTCCAGGAGTATACATATTTCGGGCTGTGGTTCTCTGGAGACTGGAACCTAGGATAATGTTTATAATGGATTATGCTGCTTTTTCAGAGATATGTAGTTTCATTCTCTTCTATCATCTACTAGTTGATAACCCGGCTTTGCCCGGGTATTTATTTATAGGAGGGAAATGTTTGGACCAAACGTAATTTCGAATAAAATCCAATATTGGATTTTCCCCCTTGCCAGAGGGAACCCCCTTGTGGAGTACTGTGAAGCTGTTACCATGGCAACTTCACTGCACTGTACAGTAGAATCCAGTATGGCACAACAGGCTCTATCTTAATAGAACACACACCTCGAGGGGTGTGAGGGGTGTCTTACCCCCACAGTATTTTTCTCCAGAGAGTAAGTCATCTGTGTACCAAGGTTTGGTTGAAATTGCTCGAAGTGTTCAAGAGCTATGCTGGAAAACACACACACACACTCTTATATAGAGAGAGATAAGATTTTAGTGTGTGGTTCCTGATCTTTTGTACCCATTCTATAGCTAACATAGTGTAGTGATTAAGGTGCTGGGCTAGGAAGTCTCAGGTTCAAGAGCCTCCTCAAACATAAACTCATTGGGCTTATGACTTTCCTTCATCCCAACCTGTCTCACAGGCTTATTGTACCTGCTGCCTTAACTAAATCCATGGAGGGTGAGAGGTAGAGCCTATGAGTGAGATAGGGTTGAACATGATTAGTTTGGAGATCATTTAATATTAGACAATCCCAATGTAGTTGGATCAATTCCTTTCTCAAGGAACAGTTTGGTACTCTGCAGACACTTAGGCTTCAGTCCTGTGTCGAATTCCTTGGGTATATTTCACAGTCTGTGGGACTTGCTTACTTGTGTAGACAAGCAAAGAACTGTCTCTGCACAATGAAATGTACACTAACCACATGCAACAGGTTATGACTGTGGGATTGGTAGAAAAAAGGCAGCCTCTAATAGCATACTTAAATTACACGCATAAATTTAGAATGTAAGCTTGCAGGAGGGTTGAATAATTTTTATTAATCTATGTTTTAAAGTATGCAACATCATATTTTAAAAGCAGTTAATAAACATAACAGTATCTGTAGATCATTTTAATAAGACACTAGTGTTGATATTTTTTTTGTTATTCAGACTAATAGTTTCCCTTCCAAATAGAATCCAGGGACATTTTGCAAACACAATTTCCAAACTGCAAGAGCTCTTTCATCTTTATAATAATCTGAAGCAGGTCATTATTATCTTTTCCACATACTGTGCTTTGCCAGAAACATTTATTGATTTGCCCAAGACCACCTAATGAAGTCCATGGTTGAACTGTCATTTGAACCTTTGGCTGTCATTTCAATATTCTTTCTGCATTTCAGGTGGGGAGGGATGTTATTTGTAACGTACTATCCGTTTATCTTATGACTGCATCTGCATTATGGAACTTTCACACTTATCCTAATACTGAAATTGATCTACTCTGACCTTTGAAAAATGTAGCTTATTTTATTTGCTAGCGTGATTGTTGTCCGGGATTCAGTGGTCTATTTATTGCATTTCTGCTTGAAATCTTAAAGAGATAGTCCTTTGGGTAACTGAAGCTTTTTGAATTAATTTGTAGCCCCTCCTGCCACTCTACTGAAAAGACACATTCAGGTAAGGACCAACGTTCTATCTCTCTGGGTTCCTGTGTATTAGTGATGCGCAAAATGTTGGCATGTTTGAGGTAAATCAAATTGTGTTTGCTTTGCCAGTGCTCAGAGCTGGCGCATACATATTTGGTCTAGGCATATACTGGGAGTGTGCTCAGAGTGACAGGAAAAGAGAGATTTAAAAAAAATACAAAATCTAGGTAGAAAGATGTGGTACATTTGAATTATAGCACAGCAGTGAAGGGGAAAGTCTGAAAGGAATGTGTGGGCTGGTCAGATATATGCTGCTCATGAATTCAAGCAGAGCAGCTTAAAGGAAATACAAGGATGGCACAAGGTAGACTGGCACACAGGTGGTGCAGGGAGGGGCAAGGAAGGCTTGCCCCACTCACCTTGTTTAAGTCCTCTAGAGGTTTTGTTGGCGATGGATGATCCAAAGTGGTCTGGGTTTGAGATCAGTCAGATCACATGCCAGTTAGAAGTTGAGTTGAACTTTTGATCCAAGCCACAATGTGTTTTATGTACTCCCTTAATACGCAGTTGAGAAGTCCTTTTACACATGGGTTCACAGGTTTAGCCAAATTGCTCAGAGACTTTTTTTCTGTTCCCATGATTAGCAGTAAGCTCAGGAGTTACGGCTTTGTTTTCCTGTTGTTGTTTTTTTTGTCTTTTGTCTGACCTATTCTCTTACCTGTTGTGCAGCATACCTAGACTCCTATTCATTATAGGAAAGCCAACTGGCGAGAGCTGGACCTACTGTGTTTCCTCTGTAATCTCTAGCTGCAAAAGGGATCTCTGGGTGACATTTGGCAACCCCAGCTCCAGCCTTTATACTCGTGCTGAATTGGAGCTTTCTAGAATGTTGTGCTGACACACAAAGGATAAAACATTGCACATGTTTGATTGCATGGAACGGCTGTCTAGCATTCTCTGGAGTCTCCCACAGAGTCTGCTTAGGAACAGCGGGATAATGCTGCTTTTTTTGTGAGACTGAACTGGATTTATAGGAGGTGTCCGGTGTAATAGAGGTCATACTTTATGCTAATTAAGAATTCCTTTGGCTGCACATTATTTTTACAGTGGTAGCATGCTCAAAAGTCACTGGTGAGATTTAGCCAAGAAAGACTTGGGTCTCCAGCTTATCTGGAACCAAAACCACAACCTGTCAGGACAGGGTGAAGTATTTTGCCTTCCGTTCTTTTCCAGAGCAAACCCTGTTAACCAGCTCTGATTATTTTTGTTTGCTTTCCCCAGGCTGATGCGGTCTTTCCAACTGCAGCAGCCACAGCAGCCACAGCAGCAGCATCACCAGGGTGCAGTAACCATGGCAAGGCTCGTTTCGAGTGTTGAAAACATTACTCTGGATAGGTAGAATTTTCTCCTGGGTGGGTGTTTCATTCAGCAAGAGAAAGAGAGAGGAGGGGGGAGGAAGAGAGAGTGATCTCAGCCAGCCGTGAGTCATCCTGCAGAGATGAGAGAAAGAAGCAGAAAAATCGACCCTGTAATAATAATAACAACAAGCCCCACTTTATTAGTTCTCTGCAGAAGGAGCAGCTTGGGATGTGTGTGTGTGTGTGTGTGTTATGCTATGCTGACATGGCTTAAGGCAAGAGGGTGCAGAACCAGGAAAAGTGCCTGTATGTACGTGTGTATGTATGTATATGTGTTATGCTATGCTGACAGGTCTTAAGGCAAGAGGGCGCAGAACCAGAAAAAAGAGGCTCCTCAACCCAATAAAATGCCCCCAGCCCCCCCTCCTCTCCCTTCCCACCGAGCCTTGTCCTATTGTCGACAGGAGGCAACCACAGCTGTGGGCCACGGGTCTCCCCCACCCCTCCCCCCTAAAGAATCGCAGATTTAGTTGCTCCAGGGCCTTTTTCGCCTGCAACAATCTCCCCCACTTCCCACCCCCACCCCGCCCGTCTTCCAGCTGCTCGCTTCCAGTGGCGCCGGAGGGGCTCAAGGCGCGCGAGGAATGGGAAAGCGGGGAGGGGGGGCGAGAGGCCGGTGGAAAGCCCTGCATTCCCGCTGGCCTTGTTCAAGAACCCTCCCCCTCCCAGGAATGAAGAGCCCCCTTATTTTTGGAACGGGCAGCTTCTCTGAAGCGGAACTCCCCCCACCCCATCATCGCCCCTCCCCAGGAAGACGGGAAAAGACCGCAGCTGTGGAGGGCAGCCGGAGTAGTTGTAGAGGCCGCTCCCCCCCCCCTCACTCGCGTGGGGAGGAGAGAATCGGGCGAGCTCTCTCCCCCCCCCCGCCCTCATTCTCAGCGCGCGTTTGTGTCTGGCGGAGGGAGACGGCGCGTTTGTGCCGGTCTCCATGGCAGTGGGGGGGTTTATGTGGGCGGAGTGGTCGGGTCCGCACAGCGGCTCTCGGAGCGCGGCTCTCCCCCCGCCCCCTCCACTGTCCCCTCCCTTCAGTGTGTTTGTGTCAGCCTGGTCGCGGCGGCGAAGGCAGCTGAGCGGGAGGCTGCCTGGGGACGCGCGGCTCTCGGTCGGTCGGCTGGCCGCGCCACGGTCGCCCTTCCCGCCTGGGCTGCGCTCCAGACATGGGTGACCCGTAGCAGCCGACGCGCCTGGGCGGTTGGCTTAGGCGGGGGAGGGGAGGTGGGGGCGGCGGCGGCCGTCATGGCGGTCATAGTGGAGTCGCGGCCGGAGCTGGTGGGGAAGCGGTTCTTGTGCGCCGCCGCCGGGGGAGAGGAGCCTCGGGTGGACGGGCGTTGGAGAGCCGGCGTCATCCGCACCGTCTCCCACCGGGACTCGCGCAGCCCCGAGTTGTCGGTAAGCCGCGGGGGGGGGCGTCCTCCGTTCCAAAGGGGGGGTCCCGGAGGTGGGGGGGGACCCAGACAGCAGCCTGGATTCCCCGCCCTGGAAAGCTTCGGGCCGTTTTCCCCTTCCATGATGGGAGCCTCTCAGGGCCGGAGGAGAAAGGGGAGCGACAAACACCACCACCGCCCCCGCCGATCTCCGGGGCCTGCCCGTGGCGCGCGTGCCTTGAGTGGGGGGAGGCAAGTGGAGGTAGTAACAAGACACTCCCCCCTTTTGCTCCTGGAGGAGGAGGGCGGATAAAAGGGCGACCAGGGAGCTTAAAACATAACACATCCGCTCCGATTTCCCCTTTTCTAGGCCCCGGACACAGGGGGAGAGAAAGAAGGGGGCTTACGGTGGTGAGCCGTGGGGAGGAAATCTCCTTTTTTCGCTTCTCCCCCATCTGATTTAATCTGGGTGGAAGAGAGCGGCTCGCGGTGTTGCCAGTGTTTTGTGCCATTTTTTGAACACGTACAGCTCCAATCGTGGATCCAGGAGGATAAAAATTAAAAGTGTCTTTCGTATAGAAGGAATATGGGGATATAGAATTCTTTATCTATATCCCCAAGTGTGATTTTCACGGCTATAAAAATGGCATTTAAGTAGATGAAGCCCCTTTCTCATACTGATGTTAATGCATCTAAAAAAAGATTGTAAGTTTTCTTTTACAGATTTGGGGAAATGTTCATAGAAACAGCCTAAGAATGGAAGCGAGAAAGATGTCTTTGGTGCATAGGCTCTCAGTGTACATAAAAAGACATGAAAAGATACATTTCGTCAAGGTACAACACTTAGTGATAGTCATAGGGTACAAATAAGCAATCAGGAAACAATCCATATCAATATAAATGTAAAGATACAAGCAGCAAAGTTATTTAGGGGAGTGGGGGGAGGTTTCGAGAAACACTTCTTGAACGTTAATTCAATACAGTTGTGTAGTGCAGATCCTATGTGGTTATTGAGAACTGCTTTGATTTATTTTCTTACTGAAGGATTATTTGACTCCTGTTCCAGCCACAGTCAACTGATCAATTGATTGCATTGTTAATACTTAGAAAACACAGGCATAGACACTTTTTAAAAAATGTGGGGGTTATGTAGGCAATTTTCAATTGAAGAAGTCATTGCTCGTTTTAAGTACTATGTCCTGTTGCTAGTGTTTTCCTAATGGGTGTAGGAATGTGCATGTGGAGAGAGAGAGAGAGAGAAAATATTTGTGTGGGGGAAGGGCAGAAAAGCAATAATTCCCTCTCTATGTGTATGCATGTGTGTAATATGCACATGAAATTTGAATATATCCACATTTTCACCTTCATTTTTAATAGTTTTAAGAATTTTGTTACATTCTAGCACTTAGTACCACAGCTGTAAAATTGGTATATTTTGTATTATTATAAAAACCGATTTCATTGTTTTAGTCTCTTAACTGCTTATTTTTTATATTAGTCACCATATCTAAATAAAGTGAATTTATTAGATTTGGATATTTGATTCATAGCTGGAAGTATGATTTTTTTAAAAAATAATAAAGGGTGCATGTGCCTTTGTATTATATTGCAATGAGAATTTTTAATACTGTTCTCAGATTCTAAACTATTTACATTTTAGTGCAAATTTAGGTAAATACATATATAGAGAGAGTAATCTGAGTTAGGGGTAGTTGAATATTAATATTTTTAAATAGTTTGCTGTTTGGCTCTAATCTAGGGCTAAATACAGAAATATTTGAATGAAATATTTGGTCAGGGAAATAGGTCCTAACCATAAAATTTCAAAAAGCTTGCGTCTGAATACATATATGCAATGGACGTTTATTCAAGCTAATTACTTCATTAGTAATAAAAACTTCCTGTCCCTGTGAAATAGAGGGTGGTTCTTAAATTTGATGTCAGTGTCTAGCCTGGGAATTCTGCGCCTTCAGAATAATGGAGAAAACAGTTAAAGAAGAATTATATTAATATAATGGTTATATAGCTAGAGTTATAGGAATGGACAAGAGATGACCTTATTTATGTACTTAACATTGAATTTATAATAGGTATTTCTATTCAACAATACAGATCACTGGGAGAACTTCTTTTTGTTAAGTGGGTGTAGGATTGTAAATCTTGTAATTTGAGCATTATTCCATTTATAATCCTGAGATAGAAGTGATAGACGTGCTCATATTCCAAGAAGTATGTAAAAATTATACAAGATACAAAGCACTACTAGTTGGGTAGCGAAGAAGTCATGAGTTCTGTTGATTGCAAATTCACAATGTATGCATGTGCTTACACAGTAGTTATGTCCTAATGAAGTAACAATATTTTATAGTAATACTGTACTTGGTGGTTAAACATAGAAATCGAAGAATATGCTTTTCTCACAATCGATGGATTTACCTTGAGACAAAATGGCTTTGTAGCAATTAAGTGTCTATATTTCTCGGAAAATGCTCTACATTTCTTGTGGCTAGAACCTTACATATGACTGCCAGATTAAAAAAAACATGGGTATTTTGAAAGTTAACTTTTAAGAAAAATGCATTAAAAAAACTTTGGAGTACAGATTAATAATTACTGGTATAGACTAGTGAGAAAACTATGTCCCTATTGTTGGAATGTAAAAAAGCAGGGATGGGGGGGTTTCATTCTCTGGAAGCTGTAATAATTGAATGCTGTCAAGGGTGGAGCATCTTTACTAATATGTATAGGTTTCATTCTTAGGCTGTTTGTATCAATAATTCCAAAATCTGTAAAGAAAACTATGGCCTGCTTTTGTCAGTTTTCACTCTGTTGGATGTAAGCTACAGTATCAAAAAATCAAAAGCATTAAAACCAGCTGTGCCTGACTTCCTTAATTTTTTTTCTGGATCATTATTTTTGTTTGCTTTGTAGGACTTTTTTTTTTGTTCTATTCATGAAGCCATTAGAAACATACTGTGGAATATTGTAAATTCAGAGAAAGATGTATATATTACTATTTCCTTTTCATTTTTAAAATATATTTTCATTTCCTGTGTTGTCTGGTAGCTGTCAGTGGGATGCTAATGTGCTGTAATAAGGAGGATGGCCAAACCAGCTGGCAGTGATCATTCCACTGCTGGCATTCACTTTCTGGAAAATAAGCATGTTCTCTTTGTACTGCACATACTTTTCGATGATCCACAATTTGGAATTCTTAATTATATTCATCTTTCTTTATAAATTGTCATCGAAATGTGATATAAGGAGAGTATGCATGTACAATACATAACCACTAAATTTAGGCAACAGTATAAACCTCAAGAATGGATATTACGTTTGTGCTAATAATTCTGTTCAGAGAATTGTCTGACTAATTTTGATCTTGATCCCCTCCTTTTCACTCTTGGAGTTTGGAAAATGGACAATTGAACAAATAGCCAGGAACAAGTAAAGTAGTATCCAGATGGGAGAATATACATTGTCTATCTCATAGCATATATACTGCGGGTAATTACAAGGCCGAAAACAAGGCTTGTCTTCCTGACCATATCATGAAACAAATGCCTTCATTAGGACAACTCACACTGAGCAAATCTCCAAAAACTACTGTTTACAGTAAAATGTAAACAAAGCATAAAGTGATGATGGAAAAACAAACATCAGCTCTTTTTCCTTCCCTCCCCTTCTTGTCTACAATAATTAAAAAATATATATTTATTAAATTTATATGCCATCCATTTCCCCTACAAGGTGGACTACAAGATGTATTACAGTGGTACTGAAAGGTTTGTGACACCTTTTGCATTTCCAATGCTTTGAATAAATATGACCTAAAATAGGATCTCTTCTGCATAGTCCTAAAACTAGATAAAGACAACACACCCAAAGAAATGTATCAAAGGTTATTATGCTTGTTCATTTATTTATTGAGGAAATTGATCCAAGGTACATACTTGTGTATGTCAAAAGCATGTGAATCTCTAAATTTAGCAATTCATTGGGAGGGGAAATTATAGCTAGGTGTTTCAATCAATAGGGTGACAAATCAAATGGGAATATGGAATGTCCTACCTTGTTTAAAAAGTAGAATTCTAAGTAATCACCATCAAAGTCCAATCTTTATAACACAGTTGGAAGTGTGTCATGGATCAAGCAAAGGAGATTTCTGAGGACCTCTGAAATGCAGTTGATCTTCACTAGCTAGAAAAGTTTACAAAACTATTTTCAAAGAGTTTGGACTTCAGCAGTCCACTATTAGATAGATTGTGTATAAATGGAGGCAACCCCCACCCCCTATCTTCCCAGGAATGTTCAACTAACCAAAATCATCAAACGCAAGAGGTATAGTATATCCAGGAGGTCTCAAAGGACTTCAGGGAACCACAGGTCTCTCTTGCATTGGTGAATATCAGTATTCATGAAATCACCAGTAAGGGAATGTTGAACAACAATAGTATGTTGTTGGCAGGGTCCTAAGGAAAAAAAAGCTAATCTTCAAAAAGAACTTTGTTGCCTATGTACAATTTGTGAAACAAATGTGGATAAGCTAAAAGTCTATTGGAAGAAGACTGAATGGGTGAGGCCAAAATAGAGCTCTTTGGCTTGAATAAAAAAGCTTTGTTTGGTGAAAGGCAAACATTGCATTCCAGCATAAGAACCTTATCTCATGTCTGAAACATGATGGTCGCAGTATCATGATTTGGGTCTGTTTACTGCCTTTAGATAGGATGGCTTACTATAATCAATGAAACATGAATTCTGAATTGTAGCAGCAAACTCCATAGGAGAAAATATCAGGGTATCAGATGTCCCTGAAATAAACTCCAAGTGAAAGTGGACCATGCAGCCAAGGCAGTGACCCAAAAGATATTAGTCAAAAGAGAAAATGTTTTTAGAGTGGCCAAAGTCCTGACCTTAATCCTATAGAAATGTTCTGGAAGGACCTGAAGCAGACAATTTGTGCAAGAAAGCCCAACAGCAACCTTGGAAGGAGAAATGTTCTGGAAGGAAAAAATGGTATAAAAT